TTTTTTTTGTAGATATATAAAGGTACTGAAAGATATAACACTGTAACATTTAGTAGTGGAGGTATCAGTGTAGAGGTGATCAGATGTAAGGAACCAGACCGTTGACATGTAAAATTCGACAGATTTAACATTTTGTTTTTAAATAAGGGCTGGAGGAAAGCTGACAGGTGCAGAGGAACATAGTTTGGGTAGAGACATCCCTTAGGGATGAATTTATTAAAGGGGGAACTCCCCATCCAAGTAAAGAGGATAGAAAAGAAGTTGGTAAAGTACAGGTAGAAGCTAGTCAGGAACAGTAAAGCATAAGAGACCCTATTTAAATATAACACATAAAAGCAAGCAACTGAATATTGACAAAATGTACAAGTGCTTATATACAAATGTGAGAAGTCTAAATACTAAGATGGGTGAACTAGAGTGCCTGGCATTAAATGAGGCTATTAATATAATAGGCATCACAAGAACTTGGTGGAATGAAGAAAATCTATGGGACCCTAAAAATCAGGGTACAAAATGTACAGGAATGACAAAACAGGTAGTGGGGGAACTAGCTCCATATTCACTGGGTACATGTCATCTCAGGAAGGGATGCAGAGAGAAAATTTCTAGACACCAAAAATTACTGTTTCTTGGAGCAACTTGTCCTGGATCCCACAAGGGGAGAGGCAATTCGTGATTTAGTCTTCAGCAGTGCACAGGATCTGGTGCAACAGGGGAATATAGCTGAACTGCTTGGTAATATGACCATAATGTAATGAAATTTAACATCCTTGTTGGGCAAAAAAGACAAAGAAACGCACGACAGTAGCATGTAACTTAAAAAAAGGGAACTAAACAAAAATGAGGGAAATTAAAAGGAACAGTCACAAGAGTGAAATGAGCAAACTGCAGAGACTATTTAAAAACACCATAATAAAGGCTTAAACTAAATATATACTCCAAATAAAAAAAACTGTCAGAGGACCAAAAAAATGCCACCATAGTTAAACAGCAGAATTTAGAGGCAAAAAGGCATCATTTAAAAATTGGAAGTCAAATCCTAGTGAGGAAAATAGAAAGGAGCATAAATTCTGGCAAGTCAAGTGTAAAAGTATAAGCCAGGCCAAGAAAGAATTTGAAGAGACACTAGCTAAAAACAAAAAAAACCCAGCAATTAAAAAAACAAAACAAAACATCAGAAGCAGGAAGCTTCAAACAACCAGTGGGGCCACTGGACAACTGAAGTGCTGAAGGAGCACTCAAGGAAAACACAGCCATTGAAGAGAAGGTAAATGAATTCTTTGCATCAGTCTTCACTGCAGAGGATGTGAGGGAGAGTCCCACAACTGAGCTATTCCTTTCAAGTGACAAATATGAGGAACTGTCCCAGACTGAGGTGTCAACAGAGAAAGTTTTGGAACAAACTGATAAATTAAACAGTAATAAGTCACCAGACTCAGATGGAATTCACCCAAGAATTCCTAAGGAACTCAAATATATAACTGTAGAACTACTAACTGTGGTATGTAACCTATCACTTAAATCAGTCTCTGAATCAGATGACTGGAGAATAGCTAACGTAATGCCAATTTTTTTAAAAGGCTCCAGAGGTGATCCTGACAATTACAGGCCAGTAAACCTAACTGCAGCACCAGGCAAATTGGTTGAAACTACATGAAAGTTCAGAATTATCAGATGAAAAAGAAGCATGATACGTTGGGGAAGAACCAACACGGCTTTTGGAAAGGGAAATCATGTCTCACAAATCTAATAGAACTCTTAAGGGTGTCAACAAGAATGTGGACAAGGGTGTAATAGGACTTTCCGAAAGTCTTTAACAAGGTTCCTCACCAAAGGCTCTTAAGCAAAATAAGCAAGCATAGGATAAGAAAGGTCTTCTTGTGGATCAGTAACTAATTAAAAGTCAGGAAACAAAGGGTCAAATAAATGGTTAGTTATCACAATGGAAAGAGGTAAACAGCGGGGTCCCCTAATGATCTGTATCAGGACCAGTGCTGTTCAACATATTCATAAATAATCTGGAAAAGGGGGTGAACAATGAGATGGCATAATATACAGACGATACAAAATTACTCAAGATAGTTAAATCCAAATCAGACTGTGAAGAGTTACAAAGGGATCTTACAAAACTGAATGACTGGGCAACAAAATGGCAGATCAAATTCAATGTTGATAAATGCAAAGTAATGGACATTGGAAAACATAATCCCAACTATACATACAAAATTAGGGGATCTAAAGTAGCTGTTACCGCTCAAGAAAGAGATCTTGGGTCATCATGAACAGTTCTCTGAAAACATGTGCTTAATGTGAAGCAGCAGTCAAAAAAAGCTAACAGAATGTTAGGAACCATTAGGAAAGGGATAGATAATAAGACAGAAAATATCATAATGACACTATATAAATCCATGGTACTCCTGCACATGAAATATTGTGTGTAGTTCTGGTCACTCCATCTCATAAAAGAGATATTAGAATTTGAAAAGGAAACAGAAGGTCAACAAAAATGATGAGAGGTATAGAACAGCTTCCATATGAGGAGAGATTAAAAAGACTGGGACTATTAAACTTAGAAAAGAGATGACTAAGGGGGAGATATGAGAGAGATCTATAAAATCATGAATAGTGTGGAGAAAGTGAATAGGGAAGTGTTATTTACCCCTTCACATTACACAAGAACTAGGGGTCACCCAATAAAATTAATAGGCAGCAGGTTTAAAACAAACAAAAGGAAGTATTTCTTCAAACAACACAGTCAACCTGTGAAACTTGTTGCCAGGAGATATTGTGAAGACTTCTGGGTTCGAAAAGAATAGATAATGGAGGATAGGTCCATCAATGGCTATTAGCCAAGATAGTGATGGACAGAACCCCATGTTCCAGGTGTCCATAAATCTCCAAATGCCAGAAGCTGGGACTAGATGACAGGGAACGGATCACTCGAAATTGCCCTGTTCTGCTCATTCCTTCTGAAGCATCTGGCACTGGCCACTGTCTGAAGACAGGATACTGGGCTAGATGGATAATTGGTCTGATTCAGTATGGCTGTACTTATGATGATATATTAACAACTCCCAAATTATCATTGAGGTCATTGATCAAGTAATCTGAGACTTCCTTGAAAAGAGAAGGGAAATTATTTTTTCCAATGACATACTGTAATAACCATCAAATCCTGATATTGTAAGAGGAAGTTGCGTCTAACCATAAAAACACTAAAATGTAGGTATGGGCGTAAATATTCTTATGAGACAACTAGGCAAGCATTTGTTTCCTTTTTAGTAAGTGAATTAAAGCAGTTTTAAACAGTAAATCTTTCTAATGGAGAAATGTCATAAAAAAAAATATACTGAAGGTTAAAACCAGTATGTTCACCATGCAAAAGCAATGGGGGAGGGGAACCAGTGTGAAACAGCTAACCACAGCATACCATATTGTAGTCCGCTAGTTGACCTTGAAATTCTTTGATTTCCCCAGCTAAAGTCTCTGCCCTAGATAAAGAACAAAAATTCAAGTTTATGAGATTAAGTGTTTTATACAACAAAACAAAATCAGAACAAGTATTCATTTTTATAGTTCTGTAGGTTGCACAGTATAGATATTCAAGTCTGATATAACAAAAGACAAGGTCCTGACAAGGCATTTGGCTATGCTAATGTTGCATTAACTGCAACATGACTCACCTCTTTTCATATGACAGATAGACAGAATTCTCCTGGTTATACATTTCTATTTCTTTCTGAAGCTTATTTATTTCTGTTGTGAGTTCACTTATTTTGCTCCTATAGAAAAGAAATACAAAAAGTTACTTGTATGTTTAAAATGTATTCAAGGCATCTCTCTTATATTGCAGGTTGTCTCAAACAGCTCTAGGATCAGCTAAAGAAATAAAAAAAGGGGGTTCTATCTTGGATAAACTCTTAAACAGTTATAAAACACGAGGATAGCATAAAAGTTCATTTTATTTAAATTAAGAGTATTTTCTCCCCTTTGGCGTAACTGTAAAGTAGAATTGTTCAGTTGTTTCAGTAGAACAATCCCATATAGGGTGACCAGACAGCAAATGTGAAAAATTGGGACAGGGGGTAGTGGGTAATAGGAACCTATATAAGAAAAATACCCAAAAATCGGGACTGTCCCTATAAAATCGGGACATCTGGTCACCCTATCCCACAACAGTTTCACAACATGGGTACCCTCTCTATGTAAGAGGATATGATTTAGGAGTGCCCATCCAACACAGAAATTTGACTGAACATGACAAAGTGTTTTATAAGATACTTAGGGCAATAATGAAAAATTATGTTAATTTAGCAAATTTATTCTTGGAATTAAGGGTGAAAAGTACCCCAGGTTAGAGGATCTACAAAGGCCCTCCTCATCCCGGAAAGCCTTATAATGGGGAGAATTTCATCATAAGTGAACAGCCAACCTAATCCATTTATGCTGCTGTATTTTATTCCTTGATATGGGTGAGGGGAGGGAGAAGACATTAACTATGCTACAGCTTGAAAGTGTTGTCACTAACATACCTAAGTAGTCCAAGATAATAGGATTTATCCATAATCTGTCTCTGCGGACCTAACAAAGGAGAACAAGAAACATTTTCTTAGAAAAGAATGAGTTTTAATGAGACACAAATTAAGTTCACAAAGGACGAGCTGAAATTATACTCCAAACAGAGAACCAGCACCTTCAGAATGTCCTCATACAGCCTTTATTCAATCAATACAGATGAAATCAGAGATGCATGTTAGGCTTTGGTGAGGATTTAGATTACTTAAGCAACTGAAAATTTCTGAGATGAACCTTGCACGAGGGTGACTTCATCCTAAAAAGATAAGGAGGATTTAAGGAAAACTTGCTATAACTTGCCCTAATATGTGTGTTCTCTACAAAAACCAAGCACATATTAAAAATAAAGACATACAAGATAAAAAGCATCATAGGAACACTTAATTCAGGGATAGTGTTTCAACCCCACTTTGATTTCTTACATTCTCCACCTCAGCTAAGCTTAGAATTTCATGTTCAGCTCCAATGCTGTTCTAGACTCCTCTATCCTTTAGATTTGGTTCCTCTATGCTGCTCCAGCCTCCCAAGCTCTGACTGACTTTTCTTGTAGTTTGTACTGGCCCAGTCATACTATCAGGCTGAATGAGTCCTTTAAAAACACAGGTTCTCCCTGCCCTGACCTGTATCTCTTTTCACTCTTTGTATAAAGCTGAAATCACCTTGAGGTGCATCACATGCTCTCTCCCAGTTCTACAGGCTAAACATCACAGCACATAAAGAAACAGATTATCCGCACAGCATAAAGAGGTGACACATGAATCAGCGGGCTCTCTCTGGGTGACAATCTACTGTAAGTCTAGCTGCTATTTATCTGCCCTTTCTTTTTCACCTGCTCAGTGGTGATTCTAGGACAGATTCTCTTCTACAATGTGGCCCCTTTGTGCCATTCCAACAGCAAATGGAGTGTAAAGACAGCTGATCCAGCCAATGGGGCTTTCACCAACTCTAAGCCACCTCCAACATAGGGGATATTTTGGTAACATGGTCAGAGCACTGCTGTGCCCCAGAAATCATTGGTTGATGTGCCAACCTCCTGGGAGCCATAGCCACATGACATAGTATAAAGGACCTCTAAACAATGCTGGGGTCTGGGCTGGTATAGAACCAGCGTTAGGTATGATGAGTTGCAAATAGTTCCTATTCACCCCCATCTTGTCCCTCAGCTGTTCCCAATGCTTAGTGGGCATAGCTAATTCGGAGTCTTTGAGAGGACAGTCGTGATAGGAATTTTGGGACCTAAACTGAACACCCTGGAATTAAAAGCAACAGTTCTAGTTGTAACCCACTACCTCGAAGAAGGACATCTGAAGTCCCCTTGCCCTGGAGCTGTATTTCTGACATCAAACCATAGTCCAATTGTGGGTGAGATCAATGTGATTACAACTGTATACACATTTGTTGTATATAAAGTATTTAAATATTGTTCTGCAGTGCTGGAAGGAGACTCAATCTATGCCTTCTTCTTTAATATTAATTTTTTCAAATGTCGCCCTAGAGATGTGAATACTGTAAGTAGTGTTCAGGCATAGAGAAGTCTGCTACCTCTGAGATTTCTAAAAGCAAAGATAGTAGAAGGACGGACTCATTTGTCTGCCTCTCCCCTCCCTAAGCCCTATTAGCTGTAGGTCCTTACATCACAATTTGTTCAGCTGAGAGGAAAAAAAATCTCCCTATTACTCTTCCTTGAAAAATATTTCAGATACCTCACTAACTTCCACACTTTCTGTGATCCATGTCATCGAGTCAAAATGTGACTTATTTGAGGCTAGTGGTGATTTAGTGCATCTAAAATTGGGGTATTAGAAAAGAGGGTAGATAATGTAGAACAGTCTACAAAATAACTGGAGAATAAAATTAACATTTTGCAAGATCAGGGTGAAAGTATAAAGTCTCTTACTGGAGTTCCTTTTTATACATAACAGTCTACGGAATCATAAAATGGAAACTATAGAGAATAATATGAAATCCTGAAATTTTAGAATGTTAAAACTAACAGAAAACATGGAAGACGCCAAATCATTTAATGAATTTGCGTTAGTCTTACACAAATATTTGGGTTAGACATTTGACTCACTTCTGTATGTTTTGAAATACTTTAGGATTCCCATTTAAATTGTTACCTTGTGTCCCTTATTCTGACGCTTCACAAATTTGGGGAACTCTTATTGTTATGATTCATAAAGAGTCATAAGAATAACCTGAAGTTATAAAAGAGATCTTAAAGATTGTTTTAAAGATACGTATTTTCTCTGAACTTGTAAAATCTACTTATACACAGATGAGAAACTTTTGACTTTGCAATCAGAATTTTTTCTTTGGAGTTAAAGGTGTTAGGTTCTTTATCAACTAAATCTTCCTCCGGTTGTAAATAAGGAAGTATAATCAAACTCAAGATACAATATATTTTCTAAGTCCTCAGACCAGGGCCATAATCACTATATGCCATTCATCCTGTACCCTGAGGGCCAAAATTTGTTCTCAATTACAGCAATGTAAATTTAGAGTATGTCCACTTAATGAGTCACTCTGAATTTTCACTGTGGTAACTGAAAAAAGAATTTCTCCTAAAAAGAGAGATGGAATCACATGATGACCCATTCATTCACTATGTAACCCTGCCTCATTCAATACACAAAATACACGTTTGCATAATTAGAGCATATCATAAAGCACTAGCACAAGAGGCAGACTTTTGAGTGCTTCACTTTGCAACCTTAATTTTCTTTCTAAAAACCTACAGATATTCCACACAGAAACTATGCTAAGAGAAAAACCGATAAAGCATAGACATTCAATAACATGGAACTATTTTCTAGACATTTGTAAGACCCTCTGTCTTGCACAGGATGTGTACTCAGGAGGCTGGTTCATTTGCCCCCTTCCCTCATTCAATACATGCATTAGTAGATCATATAGATAAGGCAAAGCTCTAAATTCCACATGAACGTCAAACTTTTTATGGAATGAGACAAGGCTAAGATTCCATACACATCCACCCTGACAGAAAATTATATTCAGCTAATTCACTTATGTTTGCATGATATGAACAGAATATAGTAAGGCTGTTATTCAAATATGTGCAAGCCATATTTTTAAATCCCTATACATTCTGCCAAATCTGCCCAAGGACCTATAAAAGGCACATGTCTGACCTAGTGACTATCTCAGTGCCAAATTTCAAGTTTCTGTCCCAAACTAGAGGCCATAAAAGATCCTCTGCCGTCCAGTTTCCCCAAATTGTATTGATTAATTGACAGTGTTAAAAACACTTTCCTGTATTAAGATGAGAATTCTTCATACATTAAAATACCTTTCACTCCAGTTTTCATTCCACTTAACCCTTGTTGTGTCACTGGACGGTCTGCGACTTTAATTTGAGATGACAACACCCCTCCAGTACCTAGGAGACCACCACGAGTACCAGGCCTTGATGTACCAGGGGGCATCTAGACAAAGACATCAGAATAATAAACCAGTTGTTATATTTATGTAGTTGTTAAGAGGAACATTTAAAAGCTTGTCTGGACTATTCTAAAAATTAGAAACTAACATATGTATTTTACTTAGTACATTAGATCTTTAGAAGTATTTTTCTTGCAGGTGATAATTTATACCAAAAATTTTAGAAGTAAATCTAAATACTATACTATCAAATCAAAACCTCTAGTACAGACATCTTTTTATATTTGTTTTTGAGACTCAAGGCTATTTTATTTGCATTCTTGATGTTCTTTTTCTCCCTCAGGTTTGACCTCTACCCAAATGGTAGTGTAAACTGAATTCCCACTGTTCTGTTTATCATGTTGTGTGGTTATCTTTTAGCAGTTAGTTCCAATAACACCCTTCCCCCCCTCCCCCGCATTAGATTTAAAAAATCCATTCAGTGAGACTATTATTTTAATAGTCAAGTACAGCACGATTGATTTTCCTGTCCAAAATCTCCATAAAGCTCAGATTTCTACTTATGTGTGGAGAAAAACATACAAGTCTCATTCTCAGGCCTCACATATAATGCTTCTTTTTATTGAAATCGCCTACTCTTTATTAAAATCTCCTACTTCAACAGAGGTGTAGGCTAAAACTAGCCTCCTGGCTACCGAAAAGTGCATAAATTAAGGAAGAACAATTTGTTGCTCTTCCAAACAAATGTCTCTAGTTTGGTTGGAGAGGACAGACTGTTAGGGAAGAACCAAGTCTTTCTAACCATGGATTGCACTGTGAAAGCGAAAGTCCAACCCCGTTTATTCTAGTCCCAAAGTGCATCAGCAGATGCCTTAGGACTTCTGCAAAATGCATTTTGCTCCTTTGAGGATATCAGGTGTGGGATGCACTAAGCTTGTAGATCCAGTAATCTTTTAAGTACTGTGGGTTTGACCTTTACATGCCATACCAGAATAAAAGGACCAGAGGCAATCTGAAGACCCAGTGTAAATTACTTCCATGACATGAACAAAATCATAGGGGAAGGCAACTGACGAAGGGTGACTTGACACCTCTCTAACAAACCAGATCTTTCTGCTTTTTCTATTTGTGACTCTAAAAGATATATTTCATCCAGTATATGGCAATAACAGTTTCCAACCTACCTCCTTTTAACATACAATAGACAAATCTTCTAGGAACGAAGAAAGAAATATGAAATACCAAAAAAAGAATACAAACTGCTACCTTCAATTACAATTGCTGCTGGCACCCAATTCTTCAGGAGAGAAAAATCAGGATAAAATCTAAACATTCAAAACAAACATATTAAATCACTTTAACACACCCCTGTTCCCATTCTGGCTGCTGATGGAGTCCGTAACAAGGATGAAGAAGGCCTGGCTGTGAGCCCAACTCCTCCTCTTGAAGCAGGACGAGCTGTAGGTGGCTTGTGATTGCTTGCCATTTTCTATTTATTTTAAACTTCTCTCTGGAAAGAAACAAATGATGCTCATGTCCTTTAATTAGAACTGATCCTTTATTAGTACGGATCCTTTACGTTACTAAGGGAGCCTGTTGTTTGTTGGGAGAGGAATGGAGGGTGTTGGACAGTTGAGGGGTGTGAGGAACGTGTAGCGGATGTAAGGTGGTACTAGGGTATATAGGGAGTATAAATAATGGGTGATGCTGGGGGGAGTACTGGGTATATAGTGAGTACTGTGGGAATACTAGAAATACTTGAGTGGGTGGGGAGTATAAGGTGCAGCACAGGGAATGTGGGGAGAATACAGGGAGCAGAAGGAAGTATAAGGGGTGGCACTGTAGGTTGTGTGGATTACAGTGGGGCTATTAGGAGGATGGGTAGGTAGCCAGGGTGGCACAGGGAGGATGGGGGTATTGGGTGCTAGTGTTGTGGGGGTACTAGGAATGGAGCTGGTGGGTGTGGGCACTAGGGCAGCGCTGGGGGGCACTAGGGATGGCGCCGGTGGGTGCGGGCACTAGGGCAGCACTGGGGGACACTAGGGGCGGTGCTGGTGGGTGCAGGCACTAGGGGCGGTGCAGGGGCACTAGGGGCAGCGCTGGGGGCACTAGGGATGGCAGTGCTGGGGCACTAGGGATGGCAGTGCTGGGGCACTAGGGATGGCAGCTGGTGGGTGCGAGCACTAGGGGCGGTGCACCGGGCACTAGAGGCTGTGCGCCGGGCACTAGAGATGGTGCTGGGGGGTGCGAGCACTAGGGTTGCGCACTGGGCACTAGAGGCTGTGCACCGGGCACTAGGGGCGGGTGGGGCAGTAGGGGCGATGCAGGGGGCACTAGGGCTAGAGCTGGTGGATGGGGGGGCACTAGGGCAGCGCTGGGGGACACAAGGGATGGCAGAGCAGGGGCACTAGGGGTGGCGCACCGGGCACTAGGGGCGGCGCACCGGGCACTAGGGGCGGCGCTGGTGGGTGGGGCACTAGGGGCGATGCAGGGGGCACTAGGGATGGAGCTGGTGGATGGGGGGGCACTAGGGCATCGCTGGGGGACACAAGGGATGGCGGCGCAGGGGCACTAGGGGCAGCGCACCGGGCACTAGGGGCGGCGCACCGGCCACTAGGGGCGGCGCTGGTGGGAGCGGGCACTAGAGGCTGTGTGCCGGGCACTAGGGGCGGCGCTGCGGACACTACAGGCGGCGCTGGGGGGTGCGGGCACTAGAGGCTGTGCGCCGGGCACTAGGGGCGGCGCTGAGGGGTGGCTTCCTCCCGGGACGGTCACGGGAAGACTCGGATCCGGCCCCCGATTCTCCCCAGTGCGACTGAGCGCCAGGCAGGAGCGCGGGGTCTCGCCCTACCGGGAGGCGGGCCCTCAGCGCGGGCAGCGGTTGGAATCCCGGCCCCGCGGTCTCACCCGAGCCGGCCGCTCTCCAGGGCCAGTTGGAGCCGATTTACTTCCTAACCGACCCGTCCCCCGTCCCCACGCGACGCCAGTATCACAGCAACCGACCAACCCCGCCCCACCGGCCCCAGCAGCCAATCATCGACCGCGCTCCTTCCGCTCTCGCGAGATTCTGAACTCCCGCCGCCTCCAACAGCCAGGAGGGAGAACGAGCGCCCCCCCGCTGAGAATGCACAGTTTACCCCACTAAAGGGAGAGGGGGAAAGGCCCGCAGGAACCTCAGGACAGATAGGCGCTGGGAAAGGACATTCGGACATTGCAATTTGCACGTCCCAACTTGCAAAGCTTTCCGCGCTGGCTGTATCAGGGCCCACCAATCCCAGCATGCTATGCGCCAGCTCTAACTTCCGTGGTCTACTGAGACTACAACTCCCAGCGCACATCGCGCCATCTCCGACCTGGTCTTTCCTCTCTATCTGGCGCTCCGCATGCTGGGATATGCAGTCTCCACTCCTTCAATGGTCCCAATGCCTCTGGGGGCGGAGGCCCGGCACTTGTTGATGACGGTTTCCGGCGGAGGGGAGGGGTGTTGTTGCTGTGTCAGGGTCTCTCTTTACGGTACCTCCGCTGCCCGCCGGCTTTCCCGGGCTGAGGCGAGGTTTCCAGCTGCAGGGAGAGCCGCGGCCATGGCGAGCGCGGGCGGCACTTACCGGCTCCGCTGCTCCGTGGGGGGACACGAGCTGGACGTGCGGGGCTTGAGTCAGGGCCTGTTCCCGCCGGGAGGCTTCGTGTCTGTGTCCCGGGACCGAACCGCCCGGCTGTGGGCCCCCGACGGGTGAGTGCTGGGGGCGGGGACCGGGCTCTTCGGGGGCATGTGGGGTGGCCGGGCCCCACACTGTTGTGCTCCGCGCTCCGCTTTCCCCTAGAAGCAGAAGAAGCAGCCGCTTGGGCTCCCTGTAGCCCGCGCCCCCCAGTCCTGTGCTGCGCCGACAGCAGGCCTGCGGGACCCCGCCTTCCCCTGTAATAGGGGCACTTGTGCCTCCGCCAGGCCAGCCCCACTGATATCGCTCTGATATTCCCTTCTTGGCCCTAAGAGCCACACTCTTCCCCGGCGCCTCACTTTGGGAGTTGGGGGGACGTGTCTCGCAGCTGAATTTGGCCATAAGCGTTCAGACTCTTAGTGCAAAGGAGTCGAATCTCTCTGTTCTTTCTATGGCTGGTGCTATTTACATGTCTGTGTCTGTTTTAAAAATAGATTACAGCCTTAATGGCTTGCACTGTGCTTTTTCTAACCACCTTGTGACTCTCTCGATTGAATAACGACACTGTGGAGTGAGCAGACTTGTGGTTGCTCTTCATCAGGGCTTTTTGTGCGGGTCTGGTCCAGTTGGATAGCGGGCTGCTCTGTGAGTGATCATAAAGTGTAGTCCTTGTGTCTACTTTCTGGGGAATTCAGGGAATGATGCTCTTATAGGTCATTTTATCTCAATAGCTCAGAGTGCTTTACAGATGCTACATTTTTCCATCGCTCCCATAAATGTGTGAATGCTGTTTATAGATGGGATTACTGAAGCAATAAGAGATAAAAGTGATACTGTAAACTTAGTTTTTAAAAATAGTCATTCAAGTTTTTGACAGGGCAAAGAGTGTTCGAAAATTTTTAAATTATTTTCACAGATCTTTTAAAAGGGTATTTGTGTTTAATGTTCACAATGGTCGCTTCAGCAAGTTAGAAACTGAATATACAGATATTGTATGCGCTGACACTACTTGTACACAAAGTACAGTCCAATGCGCAAAACAAACTGAAAAATAAAGATAAACCTTTTTGTTGACTGCTTTCAGTTATAAAAATCTTAGGTGTTACAAACAACTGTACAATTTTGTTTCGAAGTAGACTTGCCAGGGTCACACTGTGAGTCATTGAATTGAAACTAAGAGAGCAAGTCAAGAATTGAAACTGAGAGCTGATTCCCAGTCTTTTGTTATAATCAGTAGATGTACTGCTATGTAGTATTGTAGTGTATACTTGGGGCAGCAGCAAAACATATTTCCTGCTGTGTGTATAGTTTAAAATTATGAACCATATCCTTGATTTAGTGGGTATGCACTTTTTCTAACAGAGAGTGGAAAGAGAAGCAATTGACAAGTTTGTCTGAATATTTTGCCAGGAGGCTGTGATATAAAACTGTGATTTGGGTGAGGGAAAGTATAGAGAGCCTGTGTCACTGGAGGGATAGACTCTTAAAATTTCCTAACAACTTTATCACAAAGGAGGGATTTGTCCTCTCTTCCAAATGAATGTAACAGCTCTTTGTTAGGGATCACAATGTGAGTAATAGCAATATGTCCACTTTAGGAAATTATAGGGATACAGCGAAAAGGGATCAATGCGTAAGCTATCCTATACAAATGTTTGGCTGCACCTGGGGTTGCTACAGCCCTTTGTTTTTCTATTTTTTGCTGGAGGAGAGGTTTTAGCTGACTATTGTGACTTCCACTATTGTGCGTATTGTGACTTCCACCTACATGTAGCATTTGAGAAGCTGAAGGAAGGGTGGGGGGAAGATCATGATTTTTACAAGAAAGCCTTTGGAGTGTGGGGTTAAATAACATTTTCACTGATTCCTGTGCATCTGAGACATTCAAGGAAGTAGAGATACAGCTGCATACAATACCTGGAAAGTTGAGTTTAAAGTTGTTTCAGGTTCAGTACCTGCCAACTTTTGTAGTTTGCCAGATTTTTATATTTTTAATTACTGTTTTTCTCAACTAGACTGACTGTTCAGAGGAAGCCTTGAAACTGTGTACAGAGAGTGATCAAGTATTGTGTAAACAAACCTAAAATAGAAATATTATTCTCCTCTAATCTCTAATTTATTTTAATATTAGGTGTGTCTTATAGGTTAAAAAAGAAAAACAAAAAACCTTTAGATAGAAGTGTGAATTTTTAGTTGACATTCCTTTTAAAATATGAATATTTCAAAGTAAATGTTTTTTGTCCAATTATGATGTAGCTGTGAAAAACCCCAAATCAGAATGTGGAAAAAAACAGTATTACAGCAGGCACTTTGTAGGTTGAGACGCGTACAGTTGCCACCCTGTAATTGTTCAAAACTTCAAAAATCTGTTCTTTAGCTCTTCAGGTTATAGAATCATAGACTTTAAGGCCAGAAGGGACCATTATGATTGTCTAGTCTCACCTCCTGCACAGCGCAGGCCACAGAATCTCACCCACCCACTCCTGTATTAAACCCCTAACCTATGTCTGAGCTACTGAAGTCCTCAAATCGTGGTTTAAAGACTTCAAGGTGCAGAGAATCCTCCAGCAAGTGACCCATTCCCCACGCTGCAGAGGAAGGCAAAAAAACCCCAGGCCCTCTGCCAATCTGTCCTGACCCCAAATATGCCGATCAGCTAAACTCTGACCATGCGGGCAAGATTCACCAGCCAGACACCCAGGAAAGAATTCTCTGTAGTAACTCAGATCCCACCCCATCTAACATCCCATCACAGGCCATTGGGCATATTTACCGCTAATAGTCAAAGATCAATTAATTGCCAAAATCAGGCTATCCCATCATACCATCCCCTCCATAAACTTATCAAGCTTAGTCTTGAAGCCAGATATGTCTTTTGCCCCCACTGCTCCCCTTGGAAGGCTGTTCCCTAACTTCACTCCTCTGATGGTTAGAAACCTTTGTCTAATTTCTGAGAAAGTCTGAACTTCCTGATGGCCAGTTTATATCCATTTGTTCTTCTGTCTACATTGGAACTGAGCTTAAATAATTCCTCTCCCTCCCTGGTATTCATTCCTCTGATATATTTATAGAGAGCAATCATATCTCCCCTCAGCCTTCCTTCTGTCTTTCATAAGACAGGTTTTCCATTCCTCGGATCATCCTAGTAGCCTTTCTCTGTACCTGTTCCAGTTTGAATTCATCCTTCTTATACATGGGAGACCAGAACGTATTCCAGACGAGGTCTCACCAATGCCTTGTATAACGGTACTAACACCTCCTTATCTCTACTGGAAATACCTCGCCTGATGCATCCCAAGACCACATTAGCTTTTTTCACGGCCATATAACATTGGCAGCTCATAGTCATCCTGTGATCAACCAATACTCCGAGGTCCTTCTCCTCCTCCTCCATTAATTCCAACTGATGTGTCCCCAGCTTATAACAAACATTCTTGTTATTAACCCCTAAATGCATGACCTTGCACTTTTCACTATTAAATTTCATCCTATTACTATTACTCCAGTTTACAAGGTCATACAGATCTTCTCTGTATTGGCAATATCTTCCAGCTTTGTGTCATCCGCAAACTTTATTAACACTTCCCATTTTTTGTGCCAAGGTCAGTAATAAAAAGATTAAATAAGATTGGTCCCAAAACTGATCCCTGAGGAACTCCACTAGTAACCTCCCTCCAGCCTGACAGTTCACCCTTTAGTACGACCCGTTGTTGTCTCCCCTTTAGCCAGTTCCTTATCCACCTTTCAATTTTCATATTGATCCCCATATTTTCCAATTTAGCTAATAGTTCCCCATGTGGAACCATATCAAATGCCTTACTGAAATCGAGGTAAATTAGATCCACTGCGTTCCCTTTGTCTAAAAAAACTGTTACCTTCTCAAAGAAGGAGATCAGGTTGGTTTGGCACGATCTACCTTTTGTAAAACCATGTTGTATTTTCTTCCAATTACCACTGACCTCAATGTCCTTAACTACTTTCTCCTTCAAATTTTTTTCTAAGACCTTGCATACAACAGATGTCAAACTAACAGTCCTGTAGTTACCTGGATCACTTTTTTTTCCCTTTCTTAAAAATAGGAACTATGTTAGCAATTCTCCAATCATATGGTACAACCCCTAAGTTTACAGATTCATTAAAAATTCTTGCAGTCCTCAAGCCCTCACCTTTGCTCATACACACTGCTTATAAAGGTATATACCTAATCATGCTTAAGCATGAGTATAAAAGTGCATACTTAGGCCTTGATCCAGCAAAAGACTTTGTGCAGGCAGTCCCCCATTAAAGCCACTTGTACTTCACATTGGGGAGGGGGGAAGGAACAAGAAAGAGGAG